GGTGGTAAGTTGGGATGTTGGAGAGGTTGAACAGTAGGTGTGGTTGTGGTTGTAGGAAAGGTGCCAGCCGATGGCTAATAGAGGTAAGGGGAAAAATCGGAGAGGAAACAACACCACCTCAAAAAAGATATAGACGGAACACAAGCTGTCGTCAGATATCAGCCCTAGCAAGGAGAAAATGACTCCACATAAAAACCTAGAAAAAAGACAATAATGTAATGTTAAACTCAGCAAACATGCATATAAATAAACTCCAAGCATATGGGAAATAGACAAGAAAAAAGAGAAGCAGTGAGCGACAACACCCGCCCACTATTAATGTCGACTCCAATTAGGCGGGAATCAAGAAAGAAAAGAGGGTGTGAGCGGCAAATCCCACCACTAAGATGTCGGTTACTGCTGGACTAGAACCTCCCTAGTCAGCAGATTCAGCCGACCTTCTCCTCAAGCCCCGCGTCATGATGAAGTAGAGAAAAATAAGTAATATTAGCTAAATAAATAATTTTAATATTAAGCAATTAATAAAAAAAAGCTAATATGATACATATTTGTGTTTTAGGTATCATTTAAATAAAGTAATTTTTGAAGAAAATGAATAAGCAAATTTGTCAATTAAGTGGGTAATTATATTTTTAGTTTACAGCAATTATATTTTATTCTCTTGGATCAAATGTGATTAGATACATTTGGATATTTATATACATTAAAAAAGTTTTCAATTCATACTAAATATTCCTTCTCAAATTGCAAATTTCCATCTCACATGATTATCTCACTAGAGTTTGACTTGATTAATTCAAATGTTTGATAAAAGAAAGAATAAAAATGATATATTGCATTTGCAGGTTTAAATGTTGAAGTCACCCTCTTATGATATTAACTGGGGAATCAATATACCCGTACACAAATGAAAATGAAAATGACTACCTACATTTTTAGGTTGGTTATAAAAAAATATTATAGAAATTATGTGCCTTTTTGGTACACGAATAGAGGGTAACTCCTGTGATTGGTGTAGAGTATTATAAAATAAGTTGAATTATGAAAATTGTAACAATAAAACTAAATTACAAGATATTGCATTTTACTTTTCATAACAAATTGACATATATTATTTTGCTCGTACATAATACTTCTTAAATTCTCGAGTTACTATAATTTAAAAACATGATTAGCTACGGAATCTTTTTAACTCACAAAATAGTTAAAAAATAATTTCAGATAAAACTCCTCAAGTGGAATGAATAATATCGGAGATTTTTTCTACATATATTAGGAGGCACCAGAAGATAGGATGCTTCTCTTATACGGTTATAAATTCAAGAAAGTTTTAAATTTGGATGTGTTCTAAAAATTCAAACTTTAGTTTTTGGTGAAAGTTGGCTCTTCTATAAAAATTGGAAGAATTTTTTTTCAAAGTTTGGTGAATGTCTAATTAGAAAAAAATTTTCATCTAGCTATCAGTTCCCGTCTTGACATTCAAGCTTCTGTGCCGGGTCGTGATATAATACATATCATTGATTTGCAAGAATTAGATTATCATAGGATAAAAATTGTTAAATGACGTTAACTGCAGTGGCACTTGAACAGCCAAACCAGATTTAGCTAACATGCGATCTACAAGTTTCAACAAAAACTTGAAATAGGTGTGCTCTGCTTGCATGAGTAAAATAAAACTCCTTAAGCATGCATTGAAGCAAAGCGCAAAGGAACCATTTAAAAGTTTCAGATGGGCTATGAACTAGCTAAAAGAATTACATGGATATCATGAAAATTCGATACTTCTAATTATAAGGCAATGCAAGAAATCATTTTCACAATGCCCATCTACCAAAAAAGGTGAAAGGTACACAATCCATGTAATTAGTTATCAGGCTATAGAAATACGTTTGAAACTGAACTCAGTTATTCAATTCAGCGAACCGCTGCATATTCTTTTATAATGGAATTAAGATGGAATAAGAACCCAATTCACAAACTAAGCAAAAAAAAGTAATCAAAGATATGCATAACTTTAGTACCTTCATTGCAGAAAATATGGAAATGTTGGTCCAAACAAGATCATCTAAAGCATGTTCAGAGCTTTGAAAAAGCTGGTCAGCAATAAAGTCTTCTTGCAAACCATAATTAGATGCATGTTCCCTGAAAAATAGCACAATGAAGTGCATGAAAATTTCGAACAAACAGAACTTTGATGACAGATGCTCATAAAGAACATTAAAAAAGAATTTCCCAGTTTTAACTCAATTTCAGATATAGAGACGGAGAGTCAGATTCCAAAGTCTTTGAAAACTACATTTGGATGTATGTTCACATATCCTCCAGTATTTTTAGGTCCAAACCAAGTTAGAAAAAAAGGTACCATCCCTCTAAGCTCCCCAAATTGATACATATGACCAATGTTTTAAAAGGCACGGGCATTGGGCGGGGCATTTTAGGTGTTATGGGCGACGCGTAAGCCCCAATATGTCGGGCGTAAGCCGCACAATATAAAAAAAAAAGAAATATAAATATTAAGAGAAAAAATAAACAATTTTTGCCTGCGGTTACTGTAGCTGCAGTGAAATTACTGTAACAATAATAAACTCACATTTACTACAGCATAAAATAATAAAATCGTGAAATAATATAAACCTCTAATCAAATGAATCGGTTTGAGCCAGCGGGAAAGCGTTAGTGCGGAAGTGCGTGGGTGCGGGAAAGAGAAGGAACTGTGAATAAGGACGCGAGCGTGATCTATCTGCCTGCCAGAGAGGAAGCTAGGGGGATCGCCTCTACAGGAAGAAACCAAGAGGGACGAAGCAGAAGCTTGACGGGGGGTTCGCCTGCGTGCACGTTTAAACAGGCAAAGCAGACGCTCCTTCGTGCAAGACAAAGCAAACGACGTGATCGCCTGTTGCAGAAGGGACGAAGCAAATGGTGGCGAGTTCTTCTGTGTCTCTGTGTGCCAGGAAGCAAAGGGAATGGGAGATCGACTGCGTGGGGAGACATTGAATCGGCGTGGATCGATTAAATATGAAGAATTAAAGCGATTTTTTTTACTTTTTATTTGATTAATAGATAGAGTACACGCCCCATCAGGCACAAATTGCGCTGTAGGCGCTCCCACGCATACGCTACATGAGCTTTACGCCCCTCTCATGGGCTTAGGGCAAATAGACTTACGCTCCCCCAAGGCGTGCCCCATAAATACCTTTTAAAACAGAGCATACGACTGAAAATTTGAAACAAATTCCATTACTAGTTTCTTACATAAGCTTCCTCTATAGTTATCCATTCTAGTATATATCTCATTTTATGATTTGCAGCTTCTTCAAAAAATTATCCTTTTATCAATACTTACTAATTTTAAGAAATTATGATATTTGCAGGGTTCACCGTTGGAAGTTTTACGCTGTTAAATCCATGAACATGCTTGATAAAGAATGAAATTCCAAATCTCTAATAGTTCTCAAATCAAAGAGAATATCATATGACGCTTTTGCTAGAGATCAATAGTGAGAAAGACTTTTTAGCTTTGATTCAACTGATTATTCAATGAGCAGCCTATATTCCATCCAACTAGAGCTAACTTTTTTTTAAGTTCAATCGGATCCAAAAATATAGAAATTCCCCTGCTCTCGTATGCATGCTATATCTTACACAGATCAATAAATATCACTTCTTCGAATAAAATACATAAAACAAACTATTATACATGAATTTAATATCTAATCACACATTGTTGAAAATCAGAAGCACTAAAAAACTGCAACTAAGCGCAGTTATAACCCATATCAATTATAACATAACCTAATTTGTTAGAACATTGATGACCTTCAAAATCTTAAACATAAGAATAGGAGTGTGGGTGAATCCAATAGCATTTCAATACTTCTATAACCGAGAAATTTACACCCATCATCATTCAAAGTAAGAATATTTATGCCAACCCGCTCTTCTCATTCTACTAATATATACTAAGAGATTGATGTTATAATATGTGTAGCCTTAGGACATGTTGCTCCTTGAAAGTACGCATTTTGCATTAATAAAAAATAAGGAGTTACAAAAATTACAAAAAAAAACCTTCCATCAGGCAAGGTCAAAAGAAGACCTATAAAATCAAATGAAGAGTGGAAGAGCTCTCCACAAGGACATGCTGATCCAGAAAGCTAAAAGCACGAGAAGCAAATATATATATATATGAAAAACTTGTGCGCATGAGTGCACAAGAAGTCAAAGGAAAAAAAATTTTCAAGAGCTCCAAGTTGTATCAAAGACCATACCCACAAGAGGATCAGGATGAGATAAAGCCAAGTTTTCTTTCAAGGCGACAAGCTAGCAAAGCAAAATGGGGTTGAATATTCTTTTCATGAGCAATAAGGACGCCCGTGTATCATCTTTTCAAGGGTCATTAAAAAAGGTTACAATAAATCAAGGAGATAATCAAGCATTATTTATTTTCAATTGTTTTAGATAGGTATCTCTTCCTATAAATAGCAGGTTAATACTTCTAATGAAGCAAAGGAGAATTTCACACTGGAACCCTACAGTCTCTCACTCTCTTTCATGTTTATCCAAGGCATCAAATCAGACAGAAGGAATTAGTGCAGTCAACTAAGTAAAAACTCTCTCTCTCTCTCTCTCTCTCTCTCTCTCTCTCTCTTATGCCATTGTTAACCCAAACAACAATAGAAAAATAATATTATTGTTGAATTCAAATAGAAAATTACAACTGACTCACGGAAAACTGAAATTGCAACAATTGACAACACAAACCCAAGCTCGAGCTAGATCTAGGGGTGGTGGTGGTGGTGATCGGTGAAGGTTTGGGCCTCCAAAGAGGTAGCAAAAGGTGGTTAGAGAGTGGGATAGTGGGGCGGCAACAAAAGGGAATGTGGTGGGCTCTGGCGGGCTCTGGCGGGGATGTAGAACGGCTAGACAGCAGTAACGCAACAAGGCAACGTAGTACCGGGGCTGCGGCAACAGTGCGGGATGGCTGGAAGGCTTGGACGAAGGTGTCGAGATGGCTAAACAGCTGTAGACAGAAGTGTGAGGGGTTTATGGGGCTGCGGTCGAGAGGCAGAAGGCTGAGGAGAGGTGGACGAAGGTGTTGGGATGGCTGAAACTGTGATGGCAGCGATGGCAACAATGGAGGGGGGAGCGACGGGGATGCAAGGAACTGCCGGACAGCAAGAGGACGGCTGTCCGGGAAAACGACAGCGGGAACAGGCAGCTGGAATGGGAAAACTGCAGTGAAAACAGAAATAATGCACAGTTCGGGGCGGCTGCAGCAATAGAAAGCAGCCGGAAACGGCATGGGGCGAATGCGGAATGGGATAGAAAATATAATAGCCACCCGGAAACCAAGATACAGTTGAAGCACCACCTTAAATCCTAGGATACGGCCCTCGAAAGGTAAGAATAGATGTCGACGGCAGTCGCGATACGTAAAAGCCCAAAAAATTACTTCCAAACTTTAATACAACAAATATATAGGAAATCACTAAAAAGGGGTGAAGGATAATAGGAAAGAAAGCATTAAAAAGGAAAATGAGACTATTTCGGCCCGTCTCCCACACCCCTTCCGAGATTCCGCAAAATGCAGGGGCATCAGCCCACATCACTCTCTCCATATTCAACAATCTACCTCTCCCACTAGCAGCAGCTCTCTTCTAATCTCACAATAACTAAAAGTGGGAAGACATCTGGAAGTAATTGTAAGCAAATAGAAAACAATGAGGGATCTTTATGCAATCAATAAAGGCCAAGGAGTCCAAGATGGAGGAAGAATTTAACGCAAAAAAAAAAGATCAAATGCCTCAACCAGGGGCACCTTTTTTTTTTTTATTTCATTAAAGCTCCATCCTTACAGATTTGTTTACTAATATCAATAATATCTCTCCAAGATGCACGTTCACTTGTATCCACACCAACCCTCTCATGCGATCTATTAGTCTAACTGGTACAGTAAGAAAACCATAATATCGGTTATACTGTTATAGTTGTCCACATAAAATCCTACGCTACAAAGTAGATAAAATACTACTAATTTTCATTAAATATTTTCACTGAGCAATTGTAGAGACATAATTTTAGAATATGGAACATAACAATATCGGCCAGTCCCAGCAATCAACCTATAAGCATTAATACCCAACATGATTTTAGACTTAAGTGGATGACTAATAACACATTTTTTTCATGACGACAAGGGCCTCAAAGCTCCCTGCTCCCCAACTTAACTTATTTCCACTTTCGCTATCTCTCCTCTTCTTATCTCTCCCAATCCAACTCTCCGCTCCTCCTCAAGCTAGAAACTAGAAAAATTCTCCATATCACCCAAACCAACTTCATCCAGGCTTCTCGCTAAGAAACTAGCCACCTTAATCTCCGCCACCTCCAAATTTAGTAATATCCCACTCCTTTAAAGAGAGCCCAAGTAGATCAAAGAGAAGATCTCTTCACCCCTCGCAATTGAGGAGCCATCCTTTGGTATTAAAAGCAAGTTAGCACACCCCGTGGTCTAATCTCCATCACATTCTTGAATTTCCATTACATTCTTGAATAAATGTTTACTATATGACCACTAGATTGTTGCTAATAGATTTAGCAAATCAATTTTATGTTATGTTATTCATGATGATTCCAATGCTATGTTTGATGTATTATGTCTAAGATTCTAGAACATTTTATCGCAGATATAAAATGAAATGTACAAAATAAAATAAACATGTACAACATCACAGATCCAAAACTATTGATTTGGAAAAATATAATATTCGTTACTTGATATGAAAACTAATAGTATGATGCAAATAATAATTCATTGGTTTCTACTATAAACAATATAACAAAAAACATAAAAAATCATACATGTAGTCGAAAATAATGTTCTAGTACAAAATCCATACCGTATTCAACTTAGTTCTAGCACCAAAATTTAGATTGCATCCACCTTGAAAAAATTCCAATCACTCATGCAAACCAATAAAGAAATTTAGAAGAGAAATAAGATGGAAGAAACATAAATCAACAAATTAAACCTCTGACTTGTAGAAGGAGATAACATCTCCTGAATATCTTTAGGCTGCCACTAGATCACGGAATAAACAACAAGGAATAATAAAAAAACAAGATAATTATTCAGATTTTTTTTTTTTGCATGTTGTAAGCCCCAATTTATTCAAAACATTTTAGATATCTCGGGTTTATTTTTCGAAGTGATAGTGATATTGATGTGAATGTTATTAGTAGAATTCAGGTTGGGTGGTTGAAGTGGAGGAATGCAACGAACTCATTGTGTGATAGAAAGTACCACTGAATTAAAGAAAAATTTATAAGATGGATGTAAGACATGCAATGCTTAATGGCGTAGAATATTGACATTAAAAAGAGAAGCATAAAATGAAGCTAAGTGTTGTCGACATGAGCATGCTTAGGTGGATGAGCGGCTTGACAATTAGAAACAAAATACGAAACGAATGTATCCATGAAAGAGAAGGTGTAGCTCCAGTGGCAGACAAGATTCGAAAGAGTGATCTTAAATGGTTTGGTCACATTAAATGTCAACCATATGATGATCCGGTTAGGAGAGTAGATACTTTAGATTCGACTTATGTTAATAAAGGTAGAGATAAACCTAAAAAGACATGGGCATGTTGTATAAATAATGACCCTAATTTATTAGAATTAAATCAAAATTATTAGAATTAAATCAAATCAAAATATGACACTCAATAGGGCACAATGGAGAAAAAGGATTCATGTAGCCGATCCCACTTAGTGGGATAAAGGCTTGTTTTGTTGTTTTTGTTGTTGTAAGCCCCTATTTAAAATTACAAATGCTCTTATCTTATCTGTGCACGAAACTAAGCACATCAAAATTACGCAAAACAAAAGATCATGAAACATATTGCCCTCCACCAAGTCAACTCAGAATGACTAGAACATGAACAAAGCCAGGTAGGATTTTTAAAGCCACAATTCAAAGCCTAATTCAAGTGAATACCCTAACAAACTTGCCTTAGTCCTCTCCAATCCTACCCCAAGTTATACTACGCCCGTATTTCCAATTTGACTTTCTTTGGAACTTCAATTCCAGCTCACACAGTTATTAAATATGAAATCATATGGTTGATTCTTATTACATCATATTTTATGATATCCAAAAAAAAATCCAGTCTTTAGCCTAAAGGTGCAATATAACTATTTGAGGAGAGCATAACATATTGGCTCATAATCAATATCATCTTTAGGTAAAAGATAAACAATTGGCAAATGAAAAATAGAATAATATGTAAATTACCACAAACAGAAGAGGCGCCTACAACCAGCATCAAAAAGACGAAATAATAGCTCAGTGTTAGAATACTTACACTTTATAATCATAATCAGATAACTCGTAAAACAATGATCCATCTTCTTTAAGAATCCAAAGTTTCTCTGAACTAATTTTCAGGTCAACAAGTCTTCCCTGATACAAAAATTAAATCATCATCAGAAGACATCATGAAAAATACTTCAGAAACAAACTTCATAAGAAATCCAAAAGCAAAATTTTGCATAAATAATCATATATATACTCCAGTCCTATGGAAGCAAAAGATCTGTTTTTTACCGTCTACTTTGCATTTACAAATTTTGGCATCAGAGCTACAAAAATGCAACAATGAATGGAACCGGATATGTACTAAATTCAACTTTTCTTTGGTTACTGATCAAACATTTTACTTTTTCTCATTTGTTTTCACAGGAGTCATGCTCCAATTAGCATTTCTTAAAGGTCTTGATGGCATACAACATTCTTGGTTTTACATACCAAATAAATAAATAACTACCCAAAGTTAATGAAAACTCTAAGAAGCCAACAATATATTTGAAATAAAGCAACAGAAGTAGTTTACAAAAATATTTTAGAATGAGATTTTATACAAGGATCCTTTTTCCAATACTAGATGTGAAATGAGGCAAAGGTAAACTTTCATAAAGTGAGCTTTGTATTTGGCCCTGGTCTTGTCAATGAGAATCAGCCTTAAGTTCTTTTTGGAGTTTCCATGCCCAAAGAAATCACCATATGTGCATATTACTCTCGTCCACCCAATAGGAAAAGAAAATACTATAATTTGAGGATACATACCAAAGTTAATTTCTTAAAAAATATGCACAAAAATTAAGCCAAATCTAAATAGATGATATACCAAAATGCAATTCAATGCTAAACAAAATGTCACAAAATTAGAGGAAAAATTTGTGCATTATTTTGCATATGCTTCCTACAAAGCATCAAACCCCTATAAGCACCTTTACACAGCATTAATACAAAAAAGTATGCTCAATGTATGAGGTTGTCGCTAGTAAAAGGTCTGAGGAGGGTTTCTCTATGCAGCCTTACCCTTGCATTTGCAAAGAAGCTATTTTAACGATTCAAACCTTTCACAACATTACAAAATATGATATATATGTAAGTATTAGAATATTTTAGATTTGCACGCAATGATAAATCTTAAAGACATAATAAGCAAAAATGAACCAGAAATAAAAGCTAAATAAGCCCAAGAAGAAGCATATTTCATAAAAATGGCATTCGAGATTAAAATGATAGCTGGTAGAGCTGATATTAGTATTAGAATATTTTAGATTTGCACACAATGATAAATCTTAAAGGCATAATAAGCAAAAATGGATCAGAAATAAAAGCTAAATAAACCCACGAAGAAGGATATTTCATAGAAATGGGCACTGGAGATTAAACTGATAGCTAATAGAACTGATATTAGAGATTAAATTTATAACTAGACAAGCAACAAATTAGAACATTATCAAGAGGACAAAGTTCAGCCTAATATAAGATTAGGCTTATTAGTTGGGTCAGCCCGAGCCGATGCAAGCATTATCTTAGAAAAGCCTTGATAAGAAAATAACAAGGATTGCTTGCCCTTCTGATGTGGGGCTTGTGAAAACATAAATGGGTTTTATCTACTACTTCACAAGCTAACCAAATATGCTCATTTAATACCTTCACACCACTTTTATCTCATTTTCTATCTTAATCCACCACAAATCATATGTGGGGATTTGATCGTTAGTCTCCACTAGCTATGTCATGTACAGAATATTGTCGAGGTAGAGAGTCAATAACTTCTTGAAAATGGATTGGAGCCATTTGGAGTCTTCCACAAGGAAGATAGTGGTGACACCAGAATATAAGGTAATTCACATCTAAGAATAGTGGGGGATGGTGAAACTAAGGAAGTTGAGCAGAGAACCTGGGGAGGAAGGCATCAACGAAGATGGATCGATTATGAATCTAGAAGAGTGGAGCCTATGACAAGTTTGTTGGGAAATAATCAAGGAGGTGCAATGGATCCTGAAAAAGGAAGAAGTGGAGATTTAATGTGCCAAACAGAGCAGATGTTAGAATTTAAATTAATCAACATGTCAGATTGTTTGATCGAGGAGGCAATGGTGATAGAATCATGTTTAAGTAAGGTGTCAAGGAATAGTTTGAAGGCATTGATGAAGACAAAAATAAAATTCTATTAAGGACTTAAATGGCTTAATGGACTAGTTTATTTGAGAAAGTTGACTGAGGCCTAAAAAGCCTTGAAAATCATCTAAGCCTTCTATTTTTGCCAATTATGGGTCACCCAATGGGCTCACAGACAGCCCAACCACATCAGCACCTATAAGTACAGCAGAAAAATATAGAGGAAGAACCAAAAAATGTACTTTTCAATAAATCGTCTTTAATGCTTTAGCTGATCGAAAACAAGGTGGCCTAAGAGAAAATAAGTGGATTTATCTAATCCTGAAGAACCATGACAGCTAAATTGGCTAATCCCCCCTGAATTCCTTATATTTAGTGAGGCCTCTACCTAGAATAATCAAGAAACAGAACAAAGAACTTGCCCGCTCGTCTTCCTTTCAAGATTACAGATGAAGAGATTGAACATTCTAAATCTCAATAGACATTATAGATCAAGCTGTTCAAACATTACTAGGTAATCAGAAACTAATAACGCAGTTAACCCAAACCACAATAGTAGAAGCAAATATTATTACGGAAAGCAAATAGACAGCTACAATCAAATTAACTTGAAAGAAAAATTACAACAAACACAGCACAAACTTACACTAGGGCTCGATCCATGGGTGGTGGAGGTCGGCTAGGTGGTTGAGTAGCGGAGATAAGTGGCTGAAATGGATTGTGGGTGGTTGGGACAGCAAAAGGGGGAGCTGGAATTGCATTAGCAGCGAAGCGGAGGCTTGGGAGGGCAGTGAAACAGCTGAAAGGGACGGTTATGGGTTGCAGAAGCAAGGGAGAAGGACGGCAGCAGCGAAGTGGGGGAGATGGGGCGGTGTAA